TTTTCTTTTTGATTGGGTGAAAAATTTGCCTGTATATATACTATATAATTAATATTATCACTAAGGCTAAAATAACAAGCTTGAATATAGGCAGAATTATATGCTAATCATTAACTAAAGCATTGCCGACTCCTAATGTAACAATAGGTAAGGCTTGAATATTATCAAGTTTCTCTTTCTGCTTATTGTAGGCATGGTCTATTGGAGGCTCTACCACATCTTTTACTTTACTTTTATTAGGCTCAAGCCCTGAGTGGTGTGAAGACAAAGAGGGGTACCTTCAATCACTTTATTAGTCTTACTGGATGCTTTCGAAACCTGCTCTGCTAAATGGGTATTAGTCTCTTGAAGGAGAGACTCAGCTGAGTCTGGATCCTCTTTAGCTCCATCTATTATGTTCGATTTGTGAGATGACTGGGATTTTGTTATTCTAACTGATCTTCCAATTCCCTTACCCTAAATCTGAGATAGCTAATTAACCCATAACTACATAATACTTTTTCTGCTACTTTCTTTAGTTTATTTACTTTAGTTTCAAGAGAGGTGATTTCAGAATCCTTACACCCCACCTCGGCTTCCAACTCATGTTTCTTTGAATTTAAATCATCCCTTTCTCACTCCAATGTATGATTAAAGGAGTTTAATTCATTTATTTTATCCCTAAAAAAAGTAGTATCTGAATCATGAGATATGCATTCTAGTTCTATCTTGGATTTCAATTCATCTACTTCGGCTTCCAGTTCATCTATTTCATCTTTAAGATAAAGAATCTCGCCCTTGTCAAGAGATAAAGCTTTTTGGATAAGTGTTGCTTTTCTCTTTAGTGTTTTAATCTCAGATTTAAGTGATTGGATTTCAGCAGAATAATTGGCTCGCTCTGCTTCATGCTTAGTATAGGATAACTGTTCAGAAGATCTAAGCCTAGTATTGGATGCATTCAGCTGGCTAATTCTTTTTTTAGCATCAGCTTGAACTAGCTCAAGATCTTTTTTTTGCTTTAAATATATATCCTGCAGGTTTTTATATTCATTAGCAATATCAGAAGCAGTTTTGATACTACCGTGCAATGCTTTCTCAAGCTCTGATTCACGGATGCTACAAGCCAATAACCTGGCCCCTCCAGAACTCTTCTATTTTCGATATCTCTTAAGGTATGCACATTGGATATAGTTTTTTTTTGGCTTAGTCATTAGTATATAAAAAAAATTATGAGTG